GCAGTGAATGGAGACAAATATAAACCAGAACTGACTCAAATAAAAGACTTGGTTTGATGTTGACTTTGCTATTGAGCCGGTCAGTGGGAAAAGAGGAATAGGAAATGTCCACCTGAATGTTACCGATGGAGAGGTGCAGTTGGGAGTGCTGCTCATGAATACAAAATACCAGCAGCCACCCAAAGAACCTCCCTATGCAGAGAGCAGCTCCAACACAGTGCACGGAGGGAGCAAGATAGTGAAAGAAATTAAACTTTAGAATTAGAAACGCCTTGGCTGAAACTGCCAGATGGAACAAGAGAGTCGTGACCAGGGCAGGAGATGACCTGACTCTGCAGTGGCTGGAGCAGAGGAACGAGGCTCCTGGTTCCCGTGCCGGTGTCCACCAGAGGGGGCCCGGCCCCCGCAGTTCTTCCAGCTCCTGCACCAAAAGCCCCTTTGGCAACCGAACAGCAGCAGCTTCTCTTTATTTCTTCTCCTGCCTGCAGATGTTTCCCATGACAAAGAGAACTCTGATTATTATAATCCTTTGTGACAACTTCACCCATAAGGCTTTCAATTTCTGTTTGAAGCCGTCGGAGAGATTAAATGGACTTTGGTTCACATCTTCTCCTTGCCAAACTCAGTTGTGTGCAGTAAGTTGTACATTCTCTATCCTACATAGTTATAGCTGCACATCATAGAGTCATACAACGTTGTGAGTTGGAAGGGACTCACAAGGATCATGTGTTCCTCTCTAACTTGCTGTGAAACTGTGCCCCAGCATATTAGACTTGGCCTTGATAATCTTGGGGCTTGATTACTATAATGGAACACATCTAGAAGTAAAACTTCTGGTCTGAAAAAGTTATAATTAAATCAAATTGTGGCCATCTGCCTACTGAGTCTCCCAGGCTGCAGTGTTTCTCCTTGCAGTTCAGTGTGATGAAGAGGGCAGATCATTGCCACAGTGAAACTGGAAACTGAGTTTCAGTACTTTCTTGCTGTTTCAATAGACTCATTTCTTCTAGATGAGGAACCACCTGTACTATCAGCATGCCAAAAGCTTCCCTTATTTTCTGTCAGGCCTCGGGGTTCTAGTCACACAAGCAAGCATCATCTTAACCACAGTTATTTACTTATGCAAGGGAAATTAAACCCCCCAAAAAGACCTATGAGTAGTACTTTTTTTGTGTGTGTTTCTGCAGTACTTTATTCCAGTCTGGTTTTCTCCTCCAGCAGTAATTGACAGATCTCTGTTCTGCTTCTTACAGATTACAAAAGCAGATCACCCAAAGGCCCTGATTTGCGTCCCAGATAGGAACCTGGACAGTCCCACAGCAGGTAAGATCAGAACACGTGGACACAAACACTTTGAGATAAGTTTACCACCCTGTGGCTCCAAGATATCTGGTGGTCTTGCACAAACAATCTTTGAGACAAGATCCATCGTGCAGTTCCTCACAGTACATATATGGGAATACATCTCTATATTCATCATTGCTAGATACTTCTGTGGCTTAAGGTTAAATCCTTAAACCATTAAGGATGTTTTAAATCCTGTTACATGTTGGATTTCCAAGGTGAGTTAAGTGAACTTTCACTAGAGAGTCTCAAAATCTCCTTATGGTGGTATTTGAATCCTAAACTTTTGGCTCTGCTGTCCATTGTGGACTGGCTGGTCACTCCTGATTCATGTATCTCAGAATATGAATGTTAATAGCAAGCTGATAAATAATTTTTATTATCTGGGCAATGCCTGTTGTGGGAGCATTATTGAGCATAGATGCAAGTCGCTTTACACCTAAGCTCGTAGCAGGGTTTGTGAATTCTACAGCTTCTTCATTTAAGATTCACAACTAACTGTGGGTAAAAATGAGCAGCAGACATAAGGAGGATGCCATTCATCAGGATGTTTTGTATCTTGCATTTTCCTGTTTGGTGTGCCACAGATTTGATTTATAGATGAGTAATATATAAACTCAAGTAGGGACTGCTGGCAGGAAACCAGAGTTTTTAGCAATAATTAGAGGAAAGCTGAGGGTTTTGATATCTGCAGAGGGTCAGGAGGTGGTTTGCAGCATGTGTGGAAGCTCCAGGTGACATGCATATCCCTTAAGGAAAGCAGTTAACAAGGACCCCTAAGAGAACTCATGAAAAGCGGAACCTTCAGGTCTCAGACTGAAAAGCCTGTCCTATGAAAGAGAGAACTTGCCACATTATATATGGGAATGCATTTCACAGAATCACAGAATGGTGGGGTTGGAAGGGACCTCTGGAGATCATCCAGTCCAACCCCCCTG